TTGAAAAAAAAAAGTGGGGTGTGTTTTTTGTTTTTGGGGGGGGGGGGGGGCATAATCTGAAAGGGGATCCAGATGGCTGTAAAGCCTTGCGGTGGAAAAACAGCATGAGGCCAGAGAGGGAAGAATTCCTCTTTATGCTGCTGCTGTCTGCTCCTGGATCCTGGGTTTCAGTCCTTGGGAAAGCACTCCGTGGACCCTTTTAATTGCACCATTTATATCTGAGGTAAAAATTAAGAAGAAGAGGTAGCTGGATGGAGAAGAGTGAAAAAGCTGGTGACTGGATACCGGGGAAAAAAGTCCCTAAACAAATCCCACGGAGCAGCCATTCCCCCAAGCCCCCTTTGATCCAGCCAGGTTTGTATTTTACAATCCTGACACCCTGAAAAAGGCTTCAGGAAAACCCAGACAATCCCAAACCCCAGCCTGCTGGGAATTCACACCAATGCCATGTCACTGCTGTTTCCAATTTTTCCTAATACTTCCAAAAAATGAGCTGCACAGACAGTCCACCCTTTCCTGGTTTTGACCCAAGTACTGGGATTTTTAGGGGAGCATTTTTTTTTTATCATTCCTTCTCCCTTGCTAACAGAGACTGGAATGGTTTTGCAACAGTTTACAGAGTCCAGCAAAAAAAAAAACCTCCTGGGAATCATGTAGAAACAGGACAAAAACTGCTTCACCTCTATGGGACTGGCACAACAAAGGTGGCGGCAAGAATGGAAAACCCCTCCAAATTTAGTTGGAAATAGAAAATGGAACTTTTCCACAGCCAGACTTGCACAACCAAGTGAGGTGCTTGGAGAGAATCATTCACCAACCAAGAGATGCATCTCCTCCTCTGTCAGAGTCTCAGCACCAAGGGTGATGCCATGGCATGCCATCCTTTTTCCCTATTCTCCTGGAATTGTGGCCTGACCTTAGCAGGGTGCAGCAAATGAAGGGATCTTAGTGAAGCACTGGCACAGGTTGTTCAGAGAGGTTGTGGATTCCCTATCCCTGGAAATGTTCAAGGCCACGTTGGAGCAACCTGGTCCAGTGGAAGGTGTTCCTGCCCATGGCAGGGTGGTGGAATGAGACGGTCTTGAAGGACCTCTCCAACCTAAACCTTTCCATGATTCTGATTCTAAAATCCAGGTGTACCCATACCTCAGGAGTCTGTAACCAGGAGGTGATGGAGGTGTAAATTTTCAACACCACCTGCCCACACCCCTCCTTTGCCCAGGGATGCTGCTTCTTGCAGGGGTTCCTCAAAAACTGAGCCCTAAAGAAGCAAAACCACAATTGACAGCTGTGCTGCTGATGCACAAATTATCTTAAAAAAAAAAAGCAAAGCAAACCAAACACCTTTTGTGAGTTACTTAAAATTCACATTTTCCTTGCAAGTGACTGAACAAAACCTGCTAAATATTTTCTGAATGCTTCAAGGCTACAAAGATAAAAACCACCAGTGGGAATTTCACGCGTGTAACAGTTTACTGTCAGATCTCCACGAATTCCCGGGTGCTGAATCGCCTACTAGAAGGGAAAATATATGAGTGGCACTAAGGAGGTGGCTTAGCAACGAGCAGGCTGGCAGCTTTGAGTGGCTTTTTAAAGGTCAAGAGAGAACACGATGTCTGGAGCCCTCATGTTCCTTTTTTTTTACTACAATTTAATGATATTTCTGGCCAGCCCGGTTATTAAATCGCCACCTCGCACCAGCCAGCCACACATCTGTTAAACCCAGGCTTTAAATTAAGACTTTGCCCTCCTAAATATCTCATTTCAACCCATTCCCACCTTCACCAACATGGTGGGGGGGAAAAGCTTTGTCGAGATGAAACACAAGGAGAGGTCCCACCACGGAGGGGATTTTTGGGAGGTGCTGCTGAGCAGCATCATTGAAATTCAGTGGGAGAAGCCGGTTTTCCTCGGCTCTGCGGGGGCTGCCATGTTAAATCACATTTGGATTCACAGTACAAGGCTGCTAAAATACCACCGCGGCGCCTATTGGCACATTTCAATGAAAACGCCGTGGCCTCATTAGTAGAGTGGAAATTATGAGCTTGTCTTTGTATATATTTAAAAGCTCTCCTCTGAAACTCTACTGGGTTGGGGCCAGGAATTCCTGGCTCCGAGCTCCTACCACTCGGCAGTTCGGGATCGCTTTGCTCACATAGGTCAAGCGACCACGCAGCCATCGACCCGGGAGAAAAGGCATTTAAAAACTGCCCTGAGGGGAGAGGCAACAGGGTTTGAATTAAACCCTCCTCCCTGTCAGCTCCCTGTGAGCTGGTTAGGGAGCAAGTCCTAATGAAAGTGCAGGTTGTAATTAAGAGGACGCAGGAATGTGGGTGTGTGGAGTTTCACCCTGCTCCCAACAGTTGGGGTGAGAGCATCCCGTCGGCCCAGAAGCGCCGTTCCCCTCTGGGGATGGACCACAAAAGCCCAAATCCTTTGTAATGAGGGGCAAACTCGTGAAATAACATGTTTTTTTTGGGATCTGGTCCTCTCAAGATGGGAATTTGTGAAGGAAAACTTTGGGCTCAGCTCCCTACTTACCTGCACGGGCGCCGCAACGCAGCCAAGCCACGCAAACCCAACGTATCTGCTTGGACAGCTACCGTGGTTTGGTACCAGGGATGCTGGAAGAAAAGAGAAAAACACCCTAAAAATTGCACAAAAATCCAGAAGGAGCAAGGGAGAGGATGAAGACATGGTTTTTAAATGCTTGGATTCGCAGAGGCTCCCAGAAATTGCTTCAGCTCTTGGTAACAGCACAGAAATCCCCTTTTAAAACGCAGCGATGATGTTACGTGGCATAGAAAGAATGGGGGGGAAGGTTGGCTAATCCTCACAATTTTATAAGCATCTGAGACACTAATCCCTTGATCTCATTGAAAGGGATTAGAATTACTCCCTTGCCAGGAAATTTAAGAAGTTTTCTACCAGATGTAAACAAAAGCACGGAGCAGCCTGCAGAGATGGCTGCCACACAGCGAGTCCTCACAGAGAAATCTGCATCTGGGCTGGTTTTGGGGTGGAAAAGGGGGATTTCCAGCCCAGTGCTGCAGAGGGTTGTCTGGAATGATGTGGGTATCCAAGACAAGCCTGATCTGTCCATCCACAGTAGGCTCAAGATAAGATCCCATCCTGGGCAAGCAACCTGCCAGGGCTTCACAACTCATCTTTGGGCTCCAACTGTTATGGAAATGGATGCTTCAGCTAAAAAAATCCGTCCCTACCACCTGACTTGTTCTGCATTGGTCTAGGAAAATATCATTTTAATAAGAAGAAAAAAAGAGAAAAATCTCTGAGCAACAAAACCCAAGTTGTGCCCAGCTACACAGCAGCCTTCATCCACACAGCTCTGTGGTAAGGACCTGGGTTAATAAGGAAAACACAACATGGCACCCTCATGGAAACAGACTGGGATCTGCTCCTGCCCTCACAATGAGTGATTCATAATATTGAAGAATAAATTATTTGATTTAGAAGATGAAGCAGGCAATGTGCAGTGTGGGGTTTGATCTCAAGCAGTTCGCTACTAAGTTGGATGCGCCAGCTCAGAACATCAGTAGCTGAGATAAATCAAACCTAAAGGAAGCAGAAAGGATTCAGGGGATCCTTTGGAGAGGAAAAGTAACTTTGTTAGAAAACAGAAGTTTTCTAAGAAAGAAATGAAACTTTTGTCACTGCTTACTTCTTTCCTCTTTTAAATTCCATCCAAAAAAGAAACCTAAAGAGGCGCAAGTTCCGACCTCAGTATAAACAAGGCCCCAGTTTCATCAGCTTGTCTTAAAAGCCTTCCTTTTGGAGGTGCCTGAAAGGATGGCAGCAGAATCCCTCTTCTCCAGCCCGTTTTTCTGCAGGACAAATCATTTTTAGTGTTTAGGCACAAATTCTCTCTTGGCTTTGGAAGAATACCACCATCCCCACTGCAGTGCCATCTCCCAACTCCCTGCAACACTCCCGCTCCCAGCTTTAGCACTGAAGGCTGGAATAAACCACCTGATGTCAGGCTTGTCTGCAGCTCCATCCCTCTTCCCTGGCTGCAACACATCCCAGGCCATTCCCATCACCTCCTCGACCTGCTCCTCCTGCTGCATCACTGGCTGCATGGGGAAGGTGCTTCAGGAGGAGGAGGACACAAGGAGGAAGCCCCAAGAGTGGTCAGAAGTACACGACAACTCAGCATCCCTCAGGCAAAGCCACAGTTGAGAAAATGATCCATTTTTCCTGCTTTTACTCCCAAAGTGCTGCCCCCAAACAACAACAAGTGAGGGTCTTTTGGTGTGAATGCCAAGCAAGACTGGGGTGCATGGCTCAGCTGACGGACACCCAACCCACACGAGCACCAACAGACAGGCTCCAGCCAGCTGTCCCAATTTATTCAGCCCTCAAACAACCCAACATCACACAATCCCATCCCACTTCAGATGGCCACCACCGACACAGCCTCCAAAAGCTTTATCTTTTATCTCACACGCCAAGAGAGCAAAACACCGGGTCTCATCCAACACTTCTCAACTAAAAAGCGAAAGAAAAACCCCAACCCTGCAGCTTCGTTTGAACAGAGCCAGGAAATTGCCTCGGGGGAAGCCCAGCCTGGCAACGGGTTTTTACAGGGAACAATAGGAAAATGGGAGTTAAAGCACCGAGGAAATATTTGCCTGCTCGGGACAAAGCTCTGCTTGGAGAGAAGTTTAACTCAATCCCTACAAGCCGAGAGCCCCGGTCAGCGGGAGGCACGATCCACTCGGGTGGATTTGTTGTGGTTGAAGCTGCTGGGTGGGAGACTCTGATCCCTTCAACCCAGTTCTAATGAGTAATTTGGCTTCACCCACTTTCTTACCTGCCGGGCTGCTCCTCCTGGATTTCAATGGACCAATAGGAAAGCTGAAATGCCCTGGTTTCACGCCTGGGAAGCTGCACGGTCACGGAGCTCTTGTGTTTTCCCCAAAATACTCCCATAAACCAAGAAGTTGGGAAACCCACTCCTACTGCACAGGCTGAGAGAGGCTGGAATCAGGAGGGCAGCTGCCTCCTGCTCAGCACTTTCAGTTTCTCTCTCCACGAACTCTCCTGGCACAACTTCCTCTAAAGCGCTTTACGAGTGAAAAGCTGCATTAGTGGTGGGATTAATCCTCTGAGGGGATAATAAAATCACAGAATCATGGAATCGTTTAGGTTGGAAAAGCCCTCTAAGGCTAACCCAGCACTGCCAAGGCCTTCACTAACCCATGTCCCCAAGTGCCACTTCTACACGGCTTTTAAATCCCTCCAGGGATGGTGATTTCAGCCCCTGCCACGAAAAAGTGGTGTCAAAGGCCTTGCCAAAGTCCAGAAAGACACACCCACGGCCCCTCCTTCACCTGCCAAAACAGGTGACCTTGTCACAGAAGGAGATCAGGTTGATCAGGCAGGACCTGCATGTCACAAACTCACACGGGCTGCTCCAGAGCCTGATTGCCCTGTTGGTGCTGTGTGAAGGCACTTGAGTGATCTACTCCTGTCACCTGACTGATAGCCTTGTAGTTCCCAAAATCCTCCTTCCTGCCCTTCACAAGAAGCTGTGTGTCACATCTGCTCACTTCCAGTCAGCTGGGACCTCCCAGTTAGCCAGGGCTGCTGGTAAATCATGGAAAGTTACCCACATCCATTGCAGCAATCCATTTGCTTGAGTCATCACACATGACTGTCTGCTGGCAACCGTGTCACAGCTTTCCTGATGCACAGTGGCTTCCAGATCCTTCTCCTGCTGCTGACCATGCTGTGGGTGTTGGTGCAGGTGCACTTCAGCTGGGTTATCAATCCTACCACCTTTCTGGAGAAGTCCCAATTCCTATGTGACCATTCTCAGGGGCTTTCATGGTTTCCAACACATCCATAACCCTTTGTGGCTGTGCTGCCACATGGATCTCCATCCCCTGCCTCCATGGAGACAGCACACTGAAGGATCTGGCTAGCATGCTGTCCCTCAAACATTGGGATGGGCCTCCCATGCAAAGATCCTTTTCCCCCTTGGAGCCAGGAGAACCCAAGTTCTTCAGCAGTCTTGGTGTCCTGCAAACCCACCCTAAAAAAAAACTAAAGCCAAAATAAGCCTGGAGAAGTCATTCCTTCTTGCTCCTCACACCTACAGTCCTGAAGATGAAGCAGAAAAAGCAGGACATCCCTGCTTAGGCTTCTCACCACCCTGCCCTCGCTGCTCCTCCTGTTTCTCGACGTCTCTGCTTTTTCCACAGCCTGATCCAGCTGCAGCTCCAGCACTGGAGCAATGTGAGACCTCACAGCCTTTGGCTACACTGAGCCAGCTGCTTCCAGCTAATTTGGTCCATGAGTTCCTGCTGCCCATCCACTCATTGGCATTAGGGCAGGGCTTGTCTCCTCTTGCCATCCCTTCAGCACTGCAACCATCCATGAACAGGACACAGGAGCCCTCCACATGTGGCTGGAACCCTTCAGGACTGGTTTTTGTTCTTTGATGGAATTTAAACATGTCAGACAAGTAGAAAAATGACACATTCCCTGTGTCACTGCTCCAGAGGGAACAGCATCCAAAAATTACGCAGCTCCATCTCCAGCAAGGACTGCTGCATCCTGGGATGGAGGAACAGGCCCTGCTCCAGCCCACTGTCAATGTCAAGGCTTTCCCACCCCTCAGGTCAGGAAGAAAATCAGCACTGCCCATGGCTGCAGTAAAACCACGTGGGTTTGGATCCGTTTTCCATGGGATCGCTGGCATTCCTCAGCGCAGCGAGCGGCACCGCCGGGCTCAGGCGATGACTGGGCTCGCTCGCAGTTAAGCCGGGCTCAGGCGATGACCGGGCTCGCTCGCAGTTAAGCCGGGCTCAGGCGATGACCGGGCTCGCTCGCAGTTAAGCCGGGCTCAGGCGATGACCGGGCTCGCTCGCAGTTAAGCCCGGTATCACATCATCACTGATGCCGCTTTAGAGCCCTGTCAGCGACTCGGGGTGGGGACACAGGCACACCAGGACGGCCACTCCCGACGTGAGTCTGAGCGGTTCCAGGGCAACAGTGACAAGGGAGGGAATGGCTGTGACGGCCGATCTTATCTTGTGTCAACAACACTCAGCTTTAAGGGGAATGATTGCAGAACAAAAACAAACAGACCCAGCTCACTGCTGAGACCGGGGGAGCTTCAACCCCCAAAAAAACCCTCCAGGCTTCCACACCAACGATCCAAATTGGCTCAGGACCACCAGAAGGATCTGCACCTCCTGCCACGGCCCCAAGGATGGGCTTGTTGGGGTTTACTGTGCAGTAGGAGCCTGGCAAGGTGGAGGAGGACCACGGCTCAACCCTGTCATCCCAAGGCAGAAGGCTCCAGGTGCAGGTGGTGGGAACAGGAAACGAGCACCAGCTGTGCCTTTCTCCACCTTTTCCACATCCAAGTGTTGTTTTATGGCTGTGAGTGACAATCACTCATAACACGTCTTCTGCCACACAGCCCAAGTGGAGGTGACAGCAGGTCACTGGGAGGGGTGACCCAAAGGGGAACACCTGGAGAGATGGTCCAGAAGCACAAAAGCCCTCCTAGCAAAGCCAGGAGTTCTCCTGTAATCCCACACATCATTTAGTCCAGGAAGCAGCTGGAAGCTGGCTCTTCTTGGGTACAAGCTCCAGGCTTGGTTCAGATCCATAGTCCTGAGCAGCTCTGCTGCTTCCTTGCCATGGAATCCTCCTCCTCATCCACCCCATCACCTGCCTCTCCCCCAGGACAGGGCCAGGACCACTCTCCAGCCAAGAACAGCAGCAGCAACCAGCAGCCATCACCTTATTTCCCATGTGCACACAGTATTCCTCATCTGAAGGTCCAACAGATGCCACAACATTCAGAGCACGCTGTCCTTCACGGCTGACCCATCACAGTCATCTCCAATCACACCTGGAGGCGACTGGATCTGAGCCTGGGATGCACAAGCAGTAAGTTCCAGCAGAGCTGACCCACCTCCACGTCTTGTTCTCCCCAAATCTGAGACAGCCTTTGACCAAACAGCAATGCCAGCAACCCAACAGCAGAGCTGGAGTGTCCCAGCCTTGGTGAACGGGGACAAAATCAGCAAACTTGAGCCGAGCAGTGGCGGAACAGAGGTTGTGGGAGGTTGTGGAGGGGATTTCCTCCGGCAGCAAGGCTGGGAGATGTGGGAAATCACCACCACACACACCTCCAGCAGCTCCACCACCCACTCAGGATCAGGACCACCATCTGCCAGCACAGCCCTGTGACTTGGTAACGGGATCACATTGTTGCTCCTGTCGGCTTCTGCCACACAGGGCTGGAAGCATTTATTTTCCCTTTTTAAATATGTTTTAAATACCTCAATTAGTGCATTTTGGGTTCCTTCCACATTGCCCCCAAGCAGTTCTTCTGTCAGGGGCTCTATCCTTCCACTGCCAATTATTAGTGGGGCACGGGGTTGTTATTTTTCCAGGCCAGGGGCCAAATTTGTATTTAATTTTTGCTCCAGATGGCACAGCACTCCAGATGCATCAGCTGGAGCATTGAACCTGTATGAATAAAGTAATAGAGCAAACAACATGATTTACTCAGGGGCTGTTTGACACGCTTAAGGTGCTTTGTGTACATCTGTTGTGCAAAAAAAAAATAGCATTCAAATGAATTCAGATGATGGTTTCGCTGTTAAACCCAACACCCGAGGGAAATGAAACAGCAGTTGGAATCTAAGAAATAATTATGATAATAATATTAGAACTTATATTTTGCCTTCTGTAAAGTCAAGGATATATTTTTTCAAAAAGGCTGATTTCAGCCATCACTGCTGAGCATGGGCCTGGGTTTTGTTCACCTTCCTCTGTCCCCAAAGCTGCTGCTGGCAGCACGTCTTGAAAACCAGGGTCAGAGTTCTCCCAAGAGAAAGGCTGGTGATCCCAGATTTCAGTTTGGTGCCGAGAGCTTATGGCTCTGCTCACCCGAGGAGATGTGAGGAGGACACCAGAGGACAACCACGAGATGTTCCAGTTATGCTTCTGGCAAATTCACCCCGTTCCCAGAAAGCTGCTGCATCCCTCCGGCACAGCCTGCAGCCGGGATGTGCTCCCTGCAAACTAAAGCACCCAAAATAACTCAGAATAGGGAAAAGAAAAACCAAAAAAAGACATTGAGTAGTCGGTTTATCTGCCTGGGCACATGAATAGCCGCCGTGTAAAAACCAGCTGAGCCCGCAAACGCTTGGAAACAAAGGGACTGGGGGGGGAGGTGTTTTTTTGTGCTTGGCTTTGCTCCCTTCAGAGCATCCTTGGGCTGTGAGAGCCCGTCCTGGCGGCACCCGAAACAAAGGAAAGCCGGGAGCTGTAGGCAGAAGCCAGCTGGGGAAAACCGGGACGAGGAGGAGGAGGAGGAGGAGGAGGAGGAGGAGGAACCCGCATCGCCCTCCCCGGCAGCTGCGGAGCCGGGCTCGCGTGTTGCCGAACACGTTATCCATGGCAGGAAACTCGAGATCAAAGGCGAGAAGCGTGCCAGAGCAAGATGTCATCCAAGCCTCCTGCCAAAGGTGTGCACGGGAGGGGGGAAGCAACCCCCAGACACACACGGCTGGCACATCCGACGGAGCCGGGGTGACCGAGACCCACGCGTGTTCTCCTCCGGCGAAGACAAAGACAGGCTGAACTGAGCAAACAAAATAAACCAAAAGCCCAAACCGCAGGAGGTGCATTTTTTACCCGCGGGTTTGCAGTCCCCAGGGTGCCACGCAGGTCCCCTGCCAAAGCGGCGGGCGCAGGGAGGGTACGGACGTGCCGGCACGGCAGGAACAGCAGCCCAGTGTAACTCCAAAAAAGCAGCTTTTCCCAGTTCTGGGTGGCTATTTTTTTTTTTCTTCTTTTAAAGCAGAAGAAACCCGCAGAGTCCTGTCTCAGCCCCAGGAAAGCAAGGGGACGTGTCTGATTCCAAGCCAGCGGCTACTGGGAACAGAGGTGACCCGGGGACTCTGAGCCGAGCGTGGGGTGGGACCCACAGGGGCTCCCCCTCATCAGGGGGTCCAGGCAGGATGGGGACATGTCCCCTGTCCCTTTGTGCCGCCCCAGCCCCCTCCTCCATCCCTCCGGGGTGATGCAGTCCCAGCCCATGGCTCCAGCCTCTGGGCTGTCCCCTCTGCCCCCACAAGCGGGACCTTATGGCAGCCCTATAGCGCTGCCAGACACCCCAAGAGCACAGCCCAGACCCCCCGAGAGTGCCTCCTGTGGGGTCTGCAGGGAGCTGGGGGCTGCTCCGTTGCCCTGTGGAGGTCCCTGTCCCAGAGGGGACTGTGGAGCAGAGACAGAGGAACCCTGTCCCCCATGGGTGTCCTTGCCCCACAGGGTGGATGGAGGGGGAGCCCTGTCCCATAGAACAAGGCACAAGGAAAGGATCCTGCCCCACAGAGGGTTGGAAAACAGACCCTGCCCCACAGAACAAGGCACAGAGAGAGGGTCCTGTCCAAAGAGCAGATAGAGGAGGGACCCTTCCCTGCAGAACAAGGCAGAGTGAGGGCACAGCCCAAAGAGGGGATGGAGGAGGGACCCTGCCCCACAGAACAAGGCAGAGAGTGAGGGTACAGCCCAAAGAGGGCATGGAGGAGAGACCCTTCCCTGCAGAACAAGGCACAGGGAGAGGTCCCACAGCACAGAAGCGCTGCAAGAGGGTCCCTTCCCTACAGAACAAGGCACACAGGGAGGGTCCTGCCCAGAGCGGAGCTGCAAGAGGGACCCTGCCCCACACAGGGGTGCACAGGGAGGGACCCCAGGCACACAGGGGGGATGGAGAGGGGTCCCTTCCCCACAGAACAAGGCACAGGGATGGGGTCCCACCCCACATGGGGGTCCCCGGGGGGGGGTCCCCGCCCCCCATCCGGGCGCTCGGGGGGGTTCCGGTCCTCCGGCCCCCCAGGGGGCTCCCGCCCCCCGCACTCACCCGCCGCCGCGCTGTCCCGCCGGGGCTCGCGCCGCCCGCACCGCCCGGCCCGGGCAGGACCCGGATGGAGCCGCCCCGCCCCGCCCGGAGCCGAGCACGGCCTCGCCGCGCACACCGCGCATGCGCAGAGCGATGACAGTGGGGGGGACGGGGCGGGGCGAAAGCGCGGGTGGGCGGGGCGAGGGGACATGAGGGGACAGCGTGAGGGGGGACAGGGGTGACACGGGGACAGGGTGGGACACGGGCGAGTGACAAGGATGCAGGTGGCAAGGAATGACGGGAAAGGGATGGGACAGGGGAAGGTGGCGGGGAGGGGTCTGACAGAGGTGATGGGGCGTGACACGGGTGACAGGGGGTGACAGCGAAAGGAGGTGATGGGCAGTGACACGGGGATGGGTTAGGACACACAGAGGTGACGGAGGGTCGATAGGGAGCAGGGAGTGACTGTGGGGGCATAAGGGGACTTTGGGGACCTGCAGTGACACTGGGCTGGCACTGGAGACGGGGATGGTGTAGTGAGGACTTAAAGTGCCAGGGTGGCAGGGGTGATACTGGGGACAGGGTGGCACTGGGGAAAGGGGATGGTGTGGTGGGGGGCTGTGGGGACAGGAGATGACTTTGGGGACGTGAAGTGGCAGTGGGGACAGGACAGGGTGGCAGGTGGGGACATGGCCTGGCAGGGGGGACGGGGTGAAGGCGATGACAGGGCTTGGTGGCAGTGGGGACGAGGTGGCAGGAGGGGTGACCCAGAGGGGACAGGAGGTGACACCAGGGGCGGTGTGCGGGTGGGCACTGTCCCACTCTGCTCATCGCTGCCCGCACCCCTCCAGCTGTCCCCACCCCTGTCCCTTTGCGTGGACACGACATCACTGGTGGGGGAAATGACATCACCCTGGAGCTGGGATGTCACCCTGGTCCGAGGATGTTCCAGACGTGCAAGGGAAGCTGATCCTCTTTCCCCACTTCCTTCCCGCTCCAGGCTGCACGGAGGGACCGGACACGGCGGTCCCGGTGCTGTGACAGCAGGGACACTGGGATGAGCATCCCGGGAGCTGTGACAGGATGGACACTGGGATGAGCATCCCGGGCGCTGTGACAGGAGGGACACTGGGATGCACATCCTGGGAACTGTGACAGGAGGGACACTGGGATGAGCATCCCGGGTACTGTGACAGGAGAGACACTGGGATGCACATCCTGGGAGCTGTGACAGCAGGGACACTGGGATGAGCATCCCGGGTACTGTGACAGCAGGGACACTGGGATGAGCATCCCGGGAACTGTGACAGGATGGACAATGGGATGAGCATCCCGGGAACTGTGACAGCAGGGACACTGGGATGAGCATCCCGAGAACAGTGACAGGAGGGACACTGGGATGAGCATCCCGAGAACAGTGACAGGAGGGACACTGGGATGAGCATCCCGAGAACAGTGACAGGAGGGACACTGGGATGAGCATCCCGAGAACAGTGACAGGAGGGACACTGGGATGAGCATCCCGAGAACAGTGACAGGAGGGACACTGGGATGAGCATCCCGAGAACAGTGACAGGAGGGACACTGGGATGAGCATCCCGAGAACAGTGACAGGAGGGACACTGGGATGAGCATCCCGAGAACAGTGACAGGAGGGACACTGGGATGAGCATCCCGAGAACAGTGACAGGAGGGACACTGGGATGAGCATCCCGAGAACAGTGACAGGAGGGACACTGGGATGAGCATCCCGAGAACAGTGACAGGAGGGACACTGGGATGAGCATCCCGAGAACAGTGACAGGAGGGACACTGGGATGAGCATCCCGGGAACAGTGACAGGAGGGACACTGGGATGCATATCCTGGGAGCTGTGACAGCAGGGACACTGGGATGCCCATCCCGGGCGCTGTGACAGCAGGGACACTGGGATGAGCATCCCGGGCGCTGTGACAGGATGATCGCTGGAATGCGCATCCCGGGCTCCCGGCGCTGACCTCGTGATTCCTGAGCGCTGAGGCAGGAGCCGATCCGCTGGATGCTTTCACTGGGTGAAGCCTCATTCCCGCTGTGGGAATCCCCGCTCGGCAGGGGAAGGACTCGCCTGGGCATGCTGGAGCTGCGAGTCCTGGTGTTGGGAAGAGCCTGCGGAGCCCCGCGGGGAGCTGCCGGGACGGGACGGATTTGGGAAGCAAATGCGCTCGGAAATCGAGTTCTGCCGTTCCTCCCACGCGGGCCGGCCCTGGGCACTGCGGAGCTGCAGCTGGAGGGGAGGGAGTGCTGCGAGCCCTGTCCTTGGCACCGAGTCATGGAATTGTTTGGGTGGGAAGGGACCTTAAAGCTCATCTTGTTCCACCCCCCCTGCCATGTCAGGGACAGCTTCCACTAGATCAAGTTGTTCCCAACCTGGCCTTGGACTCTTCCAGGGATCCAGGGGCAGCCACAGCTTCTCTGGGCACCCTGTGCCAGGCCTCCCCACCCTTTCAGGGAAGAATTTCTTCCTAATATCGATCTACCCCTGCCCTCTGTCATTGTGAAACCATTCCACTTTTTCCTGATGAGAAAAGTGTTGGCTCTTGTCCCAGGTCCCTCTCCAGCTTTCCTGGAGCCCCTTTAGGCTCTGGAAGGGGCTCTGAGCTCTCCCTGGAGCTTTCTCTTGTCCAGGTGAGCACCTCCAGCTCCAGAGCAGAGGGGCTCCAGCCTTTGGAGCAGCTCTGTGGCCTCCTCTGGACTGACTCCAGCAGCTCCAGGTCCTTCTGATGTCAAGGATCCCAGGGCTGGAGGCAGCTCTGCAGGTGGGGTCTCACCTGAGCAGGGCAGAGGAGCAAAATCCCACCCCTTCCCCTGCTGCCCACACTGGGAGATCAGCCCAGAGCTGCCAGCACACCCAGCCAGGGATGCCAGCCTCTTTCCCTGCATGAGAGAAAATAAAAACCACCCAAAATGGCCCCTCAGCCCTCTGGACATGGGCAAGGCAGGGTGTCTGCTGTGACTCCAGTGCTGGCACAGGGCTCCTGGACATTGCCTTATGCCCAGGGTCTACTGCCACTTACAGACAGCAGCTCCTGTGGTGCAGCACCCTCCCTGCCTCAGTTTCCCTTTGGGAAGCACTGCTGCCTGCATGGGGACACAGCCAAGGAAGGGGAAGGCTGGATGGGCAGAGTCCTTCCTGCCTGAGTGCTGGCAGAGAGGGGATGCGGGGTGGGGGCACCCAAATTCAGCTAATTGGGGGTGTGGGGATGAACCTGAATCCCTCCCTGGCTTCCCTGCTCACTTTCTCCCTGCTCCACGTGTTCCTGCTAACAACACCTTGCTGTATGTATGAGAAAATCCTGTTTTTCCTAGTAATGAGTGAAGGCACTCGGGATCCAGCCCCGCTGCATGCCTGGACCTTGCGGAGATGGGGTGATAAGGGAGGGTGGGTCTGTCCCATGGGAAGGTGGCAGATGTCTCCTTTCTCCTCTCATTCCTCTCTAGCAGTGCTGGACTACGAATGCCACAGCAGATCTGTCGTCACCCCAAGTGAAATGGGGTGACAAGTGCAGGGATGGCACTGAAGTGTCCCTGGAAAGCAGGTGGAGGCTGGAGTGGTGGCAGCAGCCCTGTCACTGCCTCCCACAGCCTGTCAGGATCTCCTGCTCCACTGAAAATTGCTTCTCTGAAAGGATGGTCAAGCCCTGAGAGGTGCCCAGGGCAGTGGTGGAATCCCCATCCCTGGAAGGATTTAAAAGCTGTGTGGATGTGGCACTTGGGGACATGGGTCAGTGGTGGGATTGGCAGTGATGGGGGAACAGCTGTACTCGACGATCTTAGAGGGCTTTTCTGACCTTAATGATTCCATGATTCTCTGATCTACCCCCACATCTTTTCCTTTGTGGTCAAGGGGACCTTCAGCATCACCAGCCTGGCCAAGCCCATCACAGAGGTGCTGTGGATGGGAGACCTGGTGGGCAGAGGAAGGGTTGGGTTCCTGCAGATCATCCCCTTCCTTGGTCCCATGGCATAGCACTGCCAGGTCCTGGACAGTCCCTCACTGGAAAAATATCCACTTCACTTTTCTCTTTTCTCCCTCTTCTGTTTTTTCCCTTCTTCATCCCTCCTGCCTGCTTGCTCTCCCCATTCCCTGCCTCCTCTTCTCCCCTTCTTTCCCTTGAGGTCTCTGGGGTGGCCATGCCAGCTGATCCAAGATCCCTGTCCCCTCTCAGCCAGCATTAACTTGCTGGTTAATGGTTGGGCTGGAAGATCTTAGGGCGCTTTCCCAACATTAATGATTTTATGATTCTATAAATATCCTAGAATTTATGATTCTATAAATATCAGCCTGTGCCCATCCCATCTGTGCCCCTGACCTGTGGGGAGCCTCCCTCGCTCCCTCCCCGCTATGAAGGTGTTGCTCAGCAGGTACTGTCAGCTCTGTGCCCTGCTCAGGGTGCAGCCCTGCTTTCTCACCCCTTTTCTCCACCCCTTCCACGCTGCTTCTACCCCTGGCCAGCCCAATGCGGAGCAGGGTGGAGCAGCACAGACTCTTCCTCTTCCTCTTCCTCATAACAGCAATTACCCGGGAGCTTTGATTCATTAATGACTTTGTGAGTCAAGCAATGCTTTGGCAGGGCATGCCCGGGGCTGACCCACCTCCCACCTCCCTCCTTGGCCTTTGCATGCCCCGCTGAGCAGGTGGAGCAGGTGTTGCTCCTGGGTGGAAACCAAAACCCTGCAGCTCTTCCTCTTCCTCTTCACCACGCTCCGAGGGGCTTGGCTGCAGCACAAGGATCCTGCCAACCCCAATAGGAAAGGGGAATTCAAGTAGTCACTGACTGCATCCAAGCTGGGAAGTGAATTGGTCTGGAGCCTGCTTGCAGGTGCTTGGAGATGAAATAGCACAAGCTGTATCCATGTGGGTCCATCCTCTTCCTCTTGCTCCTGCCCCAAAAATGGGCCAGGGGAAAATGACCAACCTGGACAACACCAGGCAATGCTGAAAGCTTCATTTAGGGGACTCAGAGACACAGGCTGGGACTAATCCAGCTGGGAATGTCCCGTTGCCCTGATTTTTTAAGATTTTCTAAGCCTTCTGATGTTTACATTCTTGT